AGCGGACAGGGTGTTTGACATCACCAGGTGAGCCTCGCCGCGGGGCCCCGCTCCGTGTCCTGCGGGGTCGCGGCCGCGGGACGAATCGCTGGCTTAGGAGCGCCTTTCTCCGAGCCGTCTCGCAGCGGTAACCGCAGAAGGATGGTCGGTACGCTTGGTCCGAAAAGGTGGCTGGAAACTTAGTAGTACAGTGTAAAACTTAAAATAGCTGAAGTTTTGATTACATTTTACGTTGCTAAATTTATCCCTTAGGACGTTTCCTCTTGCTTTGGATGTTGGCTCAGGAAGAGGTTACATAGCTCAACATTTAACCAAGGTACTGTCTCTTCATCCTTAAAAGTGTTTAAAATAAGTACGCATTTATCCCTCTGTTTTCACATCGGACTATGTTATGAGCTTAAAACAATCCTCTGACTCTTGATGAGGCAACTCCTTTTTTTTTTTTTTTTCAGTCTCATACCTGTAGCTGCAGTTCAAAGATGTGTGTTGTGCAGGCTGTTATTGTACACTTATTGTCACTAAAGACTAGACAGAGAGTAGTGCAAGGGAAGCGATCTGTTGTATGACAGTAAACCTTCAGCCTTGAGTAGGCATACGCATGGCTTTTTGATCAGTCTTTGCTGGGCGCACTTAGCTGTTAGAGAGAAGTGTCTTTATGGAGACTTCTAAATGGTGAACAGTTTACCCTGCGTGAACTGTGCCCAAAGTAAAGGTACTTCATTGGCTTTTAAACCATGGTTTACATCTGACTGAACTTAGACCTAAAATGCAGAATGTGTTTTCTGTTACTGCTTCTACCTCAGCTGTTCTCCCTGGGAGCAATTACTAATTACTACATTAGGAGGGCAAATGCTTTCTGCTTTAGGTAAAGTTTTATCAAGTGTTAAAGAGATTTCTTTTAACTTACTTTAAATATGTGTAAGTGTTCCAAAAAATGACTAATGCTAACTTGTAAAATAAATATTTGATGCACTTCTAAAATTTTATTTCAGGATACCGTTGAAAAACTTATTCAGGTTGATATTGCAGAGAATGCTTTAGTAAGTAGCTTTCTGAATGCTAATGTACTTCAATTTTAAAATACAGGAAAACAAAAGAAGTGAGTTTCTGATGCTGTTTTTCTTCTAACCCAACATTAGAAAAATGCTGTAGAATCTGAAATCCCTGTGGTCAGTGTTGTAGCTGATGAGGAATTCCTTCCTTTCAAAGAAGATGCATTTGATCTTGTTGTTAGCAGCTTAAGGTGCGTGTTAATCATTTATTTGCATTTTATTTTTTGGTTAACGATGTTAAAAGTTCTTTTTGGAGTAACTTCATGGAAGAAAAGAAAGATTAATGGTCCATTAAACAGCAATAATAAATGTACTTGCGTAGTTAATATGAATGTACAGTAGGAAAAACTGCTTTCCTGGTGGTTCTTACTGTTTTGCTTGTTTTCCTTCAGAACACGTGTAGCTTCTCTCTTTCCTGCATTTTGACAAACGAGTCTTCAGGACTTGCATCTTCTCAACTTAAAGCTATTTGGAAGCTATTTGTATGAACTTTCATTTTTATTTAGTATCACTTTTAGGCAGGCATTTCAGAACTTTTGCAGCTTGAGAAACTAGTTTATTGTTTGGCTTCTGAAACATACTTAAATAATGTAACAATTATTTGTATTCCCTAAACTTTATTTGATGTGCAACGTACGCTTCTGTTATTTCAGTTTACATTGGGTGAATGACCTTCCGAGAGCTTTTAGAGAGGTAAGAAGCTGTTTTTAATACTAAAAATTAACACTTGCCATTACTTGGCAGTCAGAGCGCTCTGTATTTCCAGGTCTTCTTTAAATAGAAATATGCACAGAAATAGCTCATGTTGCATACAAGTATTTTCTGCAGTATTTTTGACAGTTTGAGGAGCATCAGTTGATATTTCTATTAATTTAATTTGGAATAAATTGAAAAAACAACATGTCTGTATAGTATTTTATAGTCTCAACAGCTGAGATCATGGTAACTGAAGTAAACTAAGGCAATGTTATTGATTTTTATTGTGTGTTAGCTCTTACTACTTATAGTACAAGAGTTTTCTAAATCTAACTTCTCCAGAACTCGTGTATGGAACTTGTATTATTTGTATGTCTCAGCTATTTATTTTGAAATACAACTTGAATCAGATAAAGGCTTTTTGATTTTGAAATGAAGCAAATATTTGTTGAGGAGAGAAAACAAACTGATACTGGGAAAAGTGTCATTTTGGATTATTTCAGCTCCTTTCTGCATGTGAAAACATTTTTCAAATTAGCTAACCTTGGAGCAACAGCAAGGAATATTTTAACCAGAACTCTGTTTTTATATTTGTTTCAAATCGGCAGACATTACAGTGCTATTCTGTCACCTGTTGGTATGAATAGGAGTACCCTGCTATTATGGAAATAATAAAAATAGAAATCAGAATGCCTTCAGTACTTAAAAAAATCTTGGAAAGAAATATATCATTTTCTCTGGAATTTAAGTGTTATGTGGTGTGTCAAATGTATTTACCCTCACAGTAAAAATAACTGACGTGTTATAATGTCCCACAGAGGGAAGGGAACTGGGGTTCTTGCCCAGCTTTCAGCATGAATGCTCATTTCTTACTTTGGGACCACTGGCTTTAAGTAATGGAAACTGCCTTTAACTGCTTAAATTTCAATTAAAGGCTTTTTTATTAGCATAGAAAAGGTAGCTTGATTAATAGTTAATTAGAAAACAGTTTAAAAAATTTTTGTTTCAAATCCTTAAGGTAAACTGAAGATTTGCTGTTGTCTTAGCCTAAGTATGTAATATGATTCTTCTGGATATCTAAACCAGGGATCATTGCCAATTCTTAAGGAAAAAAGAAAATATAAATTTGTTGGCCTTCTGAGTAGGAAGGGGGCTAAGACTTACTAAGCAAGAAAGCAGTTGTCAGCCTTGGCGTTTGAGTCATGATACTGCTCTTCTGGCTAGATAAAGTAAGTAGGGGTAGACATAGTAAGAATTGCATTACTCTAATGTGTGTTCAGAAGTCAAAAAATGCCTACTGGAAACTAAGGACTCCATTTCCCTTCAGTCAAGCCATTAAAAACTATTTTTGCTGCCCTCATCTGAGAAAGTAAAAGTAGTCTACCTTATTTTCAAAAGTAAATTAATTGAAGATAGTGTTTTACGAGTATCCCATTGAAAATATTCTACCCTAGATTTCCACAGTGCATTTTGTGTTTCTTGTTTATAAGTGTAACTTCGGGGTATTCATTCTTTCTTAAGAACAAATAGTCTCTTCTCAGACAGGTTATTTATCTTGCAGTGTTACCAAAAGCTTTGGCACAGCTTGCCTTGCGGAATACAGTCAGTATTAAAAATCTGTTACAACTACTATACCAATTGCTATAGTTCAATTAAAAAAAAAAAAAGCCCTAAGAACTTCTTAGTTACATAAGCTTAATAACAAAAAACATTAACTAACTTTATTTCTTTGTTGTAGATTCACCAAGTTCTTAAGCCAGATGGAGTATTTATTGGTGCAATGTTCGGGGGAGACACTCTGTATGAGCTTCGCTGCTCTTTGCAGCTAGCAGAATTGGAGAGAGAAGGGGGATTTTCTCCTCATGTATCACCATTCACTGCTGTCTCTGATTTGGGACATCTGCTGTCGAGAGCTGGCTTTAACACCCTGACTGTGGTAGTTATAAATAAAAGAACAATCAGATAGAACAATCCAGCACATCAGAGCTGCTAGTATAGAAAAAAAGCTATTTAGGAATGTACTAGTAATGTAGTGCTTTCTTCTGCATGTCGTGCACCTTGCTGAATAAGTTTATGAAATAGCCTCAACTGTCTCTGTTCTCGGATTTACTGTGATGAATGAAACCAACTGAAGTGTATCTTTAGGTAGTGGCGCAGGAGAATTTGGATGATTTTCTTGGTAAAACATCAGAGTGTGTTGGACCTGCTTGAAAAAACTTCAGACACTTCTGCTGTTTCTTCTAAAACCAAGAAGAAAATAATGTCCTTTTGATTAAAATTTTGTTGCATTTGGGCTACTAAACTTTTTAGACATGTTAAAACAGTATATTCTGCTGAGAAATAAGCAGTTTGAGCAGAAGTGACAGATGAATAGTCCGTTAGCAGCTCTGAAGGCTAGCATACTGTTACTGTTTTAACTTGATATGCTCTAAAACTAAGCTTCTCGATTCTTTTAGGATACTGACGAAATTCAGGTCAACTACCCAGGGTTGTTTGAGGTTATGGAGGACTTGCAAGGCAAGTATATACTTTGTTGGAAACATGAATGTTTTGTGTATCAGCAGTGCAGACAGAGAAGAGTTTCCCTGTGTGTTTCTTAACTGCGAATCATAGAATGTTTTGGGTTGTAAGGAACCCAGTCCAACCCCCCTGCAATGAGCATGGATATCTACCACTAGATCAGGTTCCTAAGACCCCCATCCAACCTGACCTTGAATGTTTCCAGGGATGGGGCATCTAGCACTTCTCTGGGCAACCTGTTCCAGTGTTTCACCACCCTCATGGTAAAAAAAAATTCTTACTTAAAAAATAAATAAATAAATAATAAATAAAGCTTATTGTAACAGGGAACTTTTTTCCTGATCCCTAGTGATTCAGGAGATAATGCCTGTCAGCAGATTTGTGTTGCGAAGCTGAAGTCAAAGGTTTGCTACTTTGTGGTCTGCTATGAATTTTCTGCTTCCCTTGTAGTTCCATTCTTTGAGAGTCTGTTCAGTGTAAGCTGCTGAAAAGCCCTGAAAGGGAGACAGAAGCCTGTATCCCACACACTAGCTTTTCTTGCCGGCCTCCGCGAGTATCAGGACATTCAGGAAACTGATTTGGAATGAGAGTAAATGGACCCTCAAATTGGAGTCGTCTGAGGAATCACAGAATCACAGAATAGTAGGGGTTGGAAGGGACCTCTGTGGGTCATCTAGTCCAACCCTCCTGCCGAAGCAGGGTCACCTACAGCAGGCTGCACAGGACC